AAAAATTTAGAAATTAAGAAATTTAAAAGTTTAGAAATTTGGGAGTTTAAAAATTTGAAAATTTAGAAATTAAGAAATTTAAAAGTTCAGAAATTTGGAACATTGAAAAGTTAGAAATTTGAAAATGCAAACAACCGTTTGTCTCTTTGCTTCTCGAACGACCGTCGTGAGAAAAAGAATCACCTTGTAAACGGATCATTTGGGTCCTCTGGTTCGAATCAGTCTGATTTAACAGGGTAATATATAATTTAACAACTATAAAACACACTCGCTGTCAAAACTGTACTCTCCTCTGTTGTAAAAGATCCGTCTCGAACCCCTTTTGCATTATTTTCCTCGGTTATTTTGTTTAAAAAATTATTCACGTGTACCAAAAATAATCTCTAAGCTGTCGAACGTTCCCTTCGAATTCGATTCGATACTTGACTTCGAGTAGGGAGAATATTGTGTATAAGCAAAAGGGTTCCCTCTTTTCCTTCCTTTCTTTTAACGTCACCCAAGTACATATATAAACAGTTCCACGGAAGAATACAGTTTTGATTTTTCATACTGTTTCACAGAGGCAGAGATAACGCACAGTTCTTCTTTTTTTTTTTTTTTTTTTTCAAATTCTATGCGATTCAGGGATCGTATTCGTATTAAAAATTCGTTCGAGAACTCCGATTGCTTAGATCGGGCGAACGTGAAAGTGCCTTTGAAAAGGGCGAAGAAGGATGATCCGTGGTGTAAAAAGGTGGCGTTTTCATTTTTTTCTCCTCTCTCTTTTTGATGGGGATGTTCACAGTGTAAAAAGTACAAGATTCGAAAAGTACGGTCCTTTGCGCGTTCGTCCGATCCGCGGTTTGAGAAATGCAGTTTTGGTACGGTACACATAATACGAGTTATACTTTCCTGAGCGGTGCGGATCGAAGTACCGTGCATTAAAACGAGACCTGTCGTCCTTCGATACTGCGACGAATGTCCAAAAAGTCGGTTCGTTTCGCGATTCTCTCACGAGTCGAATGCACCGGTAATTAACTAGATTATGTTACAAGAGGGGGAGGGGGGGCTGCGTTGATTATCTAATGCCTACGAGTTCTCTGACCGTTCGCTAACTGAAAAATCTTACGCTACGTTTAACTGGTACGATCCGAACGGTCAGCGTTCGTTTCGAAATTCCTTCGATTCCGGTTGATCTATGCGTACGAAAACAATCGTGAACGGTTCGTTTTACGGTTTTCAGCGTGATTTCGTTACGTTTGCGCGGTAGCGCCACTTGTGGTTGTGTAGGAAAACTTACGGAGGGCACGTCGAATAGTCTGAATCGTTTGGATATTGTTGAAAGTCTTTGTTAAGTGTTTTGTTAGACATCGAGAGTGATCGTACGCCGTGGAAAGTGTCGAATAATCACTTCAAAGTTGTTTCAAGTCTGTGCAAATTCTTTGCAAATCGTAGCAAGTCTTCACACGTCCTTTGCAAGTCGTCACGAGTCCTCAGAATTGTTTGAAAGTCTTCACTAAGTCATAGCAAGTCATCAAAAATCACTTGAAAGTGTTTGCAAGTCCCTGAAAGTCCTTACGAGTCTTCACAAGTGTTTAAAAGTTTTTACTAAGTCATAGCAAGTCATGAAAAATGATTTGAAAGTGTTTGCGAGTTCTCTGCAAGTGCCTGAAAGTCCTTACTAGTCTTCACAAGTATTTGGAAGTCTTTACTAAGTCGTCAAAAGTCACTTGAAAGTGTTTGCAAGTCTTTTCAAGTCCCTGAAAGTCCTCACAAGTCTTCGCAAGTATTTGGAAGTCTTTACTAAGTCGTCAAATGTCACTTGAAAGTTGTTGCAAGTCCCTGAAAGTCCTTATGAATCTTCACGAGTAATTGAAAGTCTTTACTAAGTCGTCAAAAGTCACTTGAAAGTTGTCGCAAGTCTTTGCAAGTCCCTGATAGTCCTTCCAAGTCTTCGCAACTCCACGGAATTAAACACCGTAATAAAATCTCTCTACGAGCAAGTCCTCGAAAAAAATCACGTCAAGCTTCCCCAGAAGCACAAGTGGCGCTTCCACAGTCTCCGCAGATATACAACGCGTTACCTTGAAAATTTCGAGTGCTCTTGTATTAACGCGTCGAGTGGAGCAATAAAACGGAAGAGACTATCGAGCAATCTGTACTTCATCTACTACCACAGCGATTATTCGACATTTGGAATATATCTGAAAGAATTTCAACTTTCCGGAGACTATTCTCGCCGACAAGTTCCAATAGAAATATACCAATTCCAAATTGACAAACTCCCGATCTCTCCCCCTCTCTTCGTCGTCTAATTTCCTATCGTAACACTCTGAACGCGTACCATTCGACATTTTCAAGGACGACACGCTGCATATCCGCGGCTCGACTAAATCGCGACGTCGTTCCAAACTTCGAACGATGGAGTCTGGAGAACCGGATGAACAGAGAAACCGCGGATCTCCTCCGTACGATTTCGTAAAAATACGGTAATTCCCTAAGAAAGTCGATAAAAGTTGGGCAGTGGTAGAGTTGTACAACGGTTCGTGGAATAGAAAAAGAAAAACGAAGAAAATCGTGTGATCCGAAAGAAAGGTAGAACGGTGTGTGTGTGTGTGCGCGCTCTTTTCGTCTGCTGTCGCATCGGTAGCATCTCGATTGTCCTTTTACGAGCCGTAGTCTCCTCTCGCTTAGTTAGTCCTTAGAACCTGCTGACCGCCTCGTCGTCTGTCACGAAGTAGTTGGAATTCTTCACAGCTGAGCTGTACATGTTATACGTGGGACTGCAAACGACCAGTCCGGCTGTACAACCGGTCAGCTCCTTCTCGTTCGTCACGGAGCCGTGACGAGCGATCGTCGACGTTCTTCTGTCCTTTTTAGCCAGCGTCATTCGACAATCCTCCGGGCGTAGCGGCATCGAGGGGTAGGTTGGCTGCCTGGCCAACGTGGTAAGCGCGCGGTCTCCCGTGTCGTTGAAGCTGCGCAAACGTTTGAACGTACAATCGGAGAGGGTGTTCGACGATCGTGGAAGCATCGATGGATTTTCATTCGCTTCTAACGTTCGACGCGAGTTCTGGAGTTCATTATTTGGACACGTTCGAGATTGTACAGTAGTTGAAATTTCTTGGGTGTAGATCGATCGAGTGTTGAAAGAGGACGGGCGAAAATTTGGGTGTATGTGCTGTGTCTCGAAACAAGGAAGAAAGTGGCGATAATGGGAAGAGTGATTAGAGAGAAAGAGGAAGAGAGAAAACTGAGTATACGAAATGAAAGAAAGTATTGGGAAGAAACAGAACGCCGAAAGTGGAGACGAATGAATTAAAGAAAAAATGAATTATGGAGAACGGTAACGATATGAAATCCGTTTCTAAGCTAAAAATGATCGTGGATTAAATTTTTGTACATGTTCAAAACGATCGAAGTTTTTTCTATCAAATATTGCGGAGTCTAGACTATTTCTAATTACGATCGTAGAGGCTTTGAACGTAATAAAAGTATGAGAAAGAAGCGACAAAGGTAGATAGAAAAAGTAAGCGACTGTTTAGCTTTATAAAATAACTGGCAAATTGATAATAACTGATAAGTTAATGGATAAAATTATACGTTATTCGTAGAAATTTCGAATTAGCTGGTAGCTAAAAAGATTGTGCGCTGTTGAAGCTTGGAAAATAAAAGGATTCGCTGCTAACTAATAAAATAGCAGTTAACGCGACGATCTGTGATATATAGATACCTATGATGCCTGACGATGCCCCTCTTAATTCTGCAATGCTCGTTTCCACCCTGTCCCTCCAGTGCAGTCCCATGTGTCTTGCACGCCTCCAGCCCCATAGGAACAGGAGAAAGCGAACCAGGCCCATACGAACCGCTACTCTGCCTCCTGTCCAGTATATGGACAAGCTCCACCGACGGTGTCGGTGAGAACGTGCCCTAAACACAGCTCAGATCAAACCTCTCCCTCCAATCATCCATTGCAAGGCAAAGAAAAAGAAGGAGAGGATCTCTCTCTCTTCTCTCTCGTCTCTCGTTTACTCACTCATTCACTTCGTTCATCTCTCTTCTCTCTCTTCTTTCTCATTTCTCTTTTTCTCCTCTCTTCCAGTCATTCACTGAATTTTTCTCTCCCTTCTCTCTTATCTCTCTCATGCACTAAATTTTTCTCTCCCTTATTTCTCTTCTCTTTTCTCCCTGCTCTCTCACTCACTCACTCACTTTTCTCTTTTTCTCTCCTCTCTTCCTCTCATTCATCAATTTTTTCTCTCCCTTCTCTCTCTTCTCTCTCATCTCCCTCAGTCACTCACTCACTTTTCTCTTTCTCTCCCTTCTCTCTCATCTCTCTCCTCTCTCCCTCTCTCTCACTAACTCACTTTTCTCTCTTCCTCTCATCCACTAAAATGTTCCCGCCCTCCTCCCCGAAAACACTTCCGCTCACACCAAACGAAACAGCAACGACTAGAAAGCCCGACAAAAAAAAAATCAGCATCCTCCTCGGTATCCGTGAAAAGAAATAACCAGGAAAAAGAATTTCCACCGAGAAACGTCTACTTAAACAAAACACCTTCTCTTTCGTTCAGAACTCAGGAAAAAAAAGAGAAAGAAAACAGGAACAGGAAATGTCTAACTGAAAATAAATCGTCTCTTCTGTCGATACGTTTAATCCAGCAACGATACAAACTTAACTGAACAATAACTCAACGAAAACGGATACAAAAGTAAATAATGAAAAAAAAAAAAAAAAGAAAGAACGAAAAATAATAGGAAATTTTCTGGATATTCACAGGGAAGTGACGTCGTGCTCGCTCACCTGCAACGACGGTCTCCTCAACGTTCCCCCCTCCATCCCGACAAGTTTCACCCCTTTCACGTTCTTCTTTACATTGATCGTGGTCAGCATGTTATCAGGGACAGTTTGAAATTCCGTGTTCCCTCTGTCCACGATGCTGATCCTCTCGTTTTCCCTCGTCTTCTCGTTCACCATAGATCCCTCGTTTGTTTTCGCGTAATGCGGACCAGGTGTCATTGGCGTAGTCGCCGTGGAATTCGTCGGAATGTTCACTATACCTGGATTATTGCTGGGAGAGATGACCGGTCGATCGGTCGGCAACAACATCTGTCCCATAGAACCACGTAGATTTCGTACACCTAGTATTTGACCTCTGGATACTTCGTTGCTCTGTATGGGGGTGTATTGATTTGGGGTTGGTGTGTGTCTACCGCTCAAAGTGTTCGTGTGTATGGAGTTTCGTAATGTTTGGAGATGTTGAAGGCTTTGATTGGCCTTTTGAGCAGCTGAAGCGATGTTGTTGATTTTCGGTGTTTCTTTCTCGTATGGATCACTTGCCACGGTACCGGTATCGCCACGATCGGTCATGTCTTCGACGGAATTGGTGGTTGTGCGGTCGTCTTCGTAGCTCCCCGTTCCCAGACCTTCGCAGGAGTCCATGCCTGAGGTGGATTTCTGAGGAGATTTGGGGTGGAGGGTAATTTGTGAGTTTGGAGCATCGAAATTTTACTCCTAAAGTTTCGAAGCTTTGAATTTTTTAAATTTCAGTCCCGAAATCTTAAAGAGTCGAAGTCTCTGAGCTTCTAAGCCTCAAAATTTTAGTCCGCGAGTCTCGAAGTCTCAAAATTCCAAGGTTTTAAAGTCTCACAGTTCCAAGGTTTCAAAGTCTCAAAGTCCTAAATTCTCAAAGTTCCAAAGCTTTAAATTCTCAAAGATCCAAAGTTACAAGAATTTCAGTCCCATACTCTCCAAAGACTCAATATCTCACTGACCCAAAGTTTGAAAGCCTCAAAATCTCAACATTCGGATGCATCGAAGTCCCAGAGACAAAAAATTCCAAAGCCTCAACGTTTCAAGGCCTAAAATTCTCAAGATCTCAAAATTTCAACGCCTCAAAGTCTGAAAATTCCAAAGCTTTAAATTCTCAAAGAGACGAAGTTACAAAAATTTCAGTCCCAAACTCTCCAAACCCTCAATATCTCACGTACTCAAAATTTCAAGGCCTCAAAGTCTCAAAATCTCAATATTCGAATGCATCGAAGTCCCAAAGACCCAAAATTTCAAAGCCTCGACATTCCAAGTCCTAAAATTCTCAAAATCTGAAAATTCCAAAGCCTCAAAAATTCTTAATCCCCAAGTATCGCTACTATCATTTACAAAAATGAACAAAAGAACTCACATTAACGGAGGAAGTGTCCATCAGCGCTGCTCCAGAGCTGCTCTGCACGACTCCCGACTGGTCCTTCGATTTCCCTGGCGAGTAAACGCTAAGAACGTCGCAGCATCGTGGAAAGTATCCCTTTCCAAGAAGGTTCCTCGTAAAGAAACTCGTTATAAGCTGAGTGAAGAGTGCGACTATCATAGCTGCAGTACGGAAAGGAAATTTCTGGGACTGTGTCTCGGTATCGTAAAAGGGATACTCGATCAGTGCTGGCACACCTAAACCTTTCTCTCCTCCTACAAACACAAACATATTCGAATCTTTGAAATTTGAACAACCTCGAGCAAAAATAAAACAAATCTCCCTTAAAACAGCAACAACAAGAAAAACAAGAAAGAAGATCACAAAGTGAACGAACTTTCTTTGAAAATTTCCTACAAAGGCATATTTTCTCTTTTATCACTCTCACCGCAAAGACGCAAAACAACAGCCACAAAGTAACCCGCGAGGCATCCATAAGTATCCACCAAAGAGGGCCAATGAACGACGGTCAACAATTGCGGGAAGAGTACCACGTAAACAAGATCAGAGCTGAGATACCTTTTGAAACAAACAAAAAAAAAACACAAGCGAATTCTCCGTGTTGATTAACCCCCGCGTCTGTTTAATTTGTCAAAGGAAACTGCCGGAGCTACTCGAGTTTCTTATTTTCTACTCACGAGAGATAATAAACGCTGTCCACTGTGAGCGCGATCGCGATCGACAGAACTGTGATCACCAGTACAGAGATCCGCAGTATCCAGTTCAGTTCCCTTTCGGACGCCTGCAACGAAAGAACAGAGCGGAGAAAGAGTGAAGATGGAAGAAGAAATTCTTAACTTCGCGTACACTTTGTTTCGTAGCTTTTTGAAATTCTTCCAAGTAGAAGATACAAATACGTTTTCTCTTTTACTTCCACCGTCGTCGGGTTATTCAGATTATCGACCCTTTCGTTTTGGAGTTTAAAAATTTTTTTCAAATTTCTACGTTTAAATTAAAGTTGGAGTACTCGAAGGATTGAATTTTAAGCAAAACTAATAAAAGTCACCAACAGCACAGTGCGTGAAAATTGTCAAAGCGCCAGTAGCAGTGAAAGGATTAAAAAACATGAATTACACTGTTAATAAAAATTCGTGGTGCTCACTTTTGGCCTTAGTGTGAGTCTGTACACGTTCCTGGAGAACATGGAACTGCTGGCCAATATACTCGAATCTGCTGACGACATCACTGCCGCTGAAATGGCGCCCAGACCTGTCGATCAATCGCGAAAATTATGGGATAAATATGAAATTCAATTAACTCCGGAAAATAACGAGGCCAGGGAAAACTTCTTAACGCCGTATTGCTTCTCCCTCCTTACAGAAATAATTACATTCGCTTACGCTGTATTTAAAAAAAAAAAAAAAAATAACGAAAAAATTCAAAAGCACGATAAGACACAAGATCAGGGTAGTTTCAGTCTATTAGGTGGTATCATTTTTGAGATAGAAATAAATACAGAAATGTTACAACATTTCTTCGGCAAACTGTACGTTTTACTTTGCCGCTTAAGTTACACATTTCCTCGACAAACTATACGTTCGGTATGTTCGTTGTAAAATAGAATTTTGCTTGGTTTAGATAAGTAACAGAGGCGTGGTGGCAGTTCGATAAGAATTTGCAGAGTCTTCAAGAAGACCGTGTATAGTTGTTGAATTTTATTCTTTATAGGCACTCGACCTGTTTCGCGGTTTCTTAAGTGACTAATGTACAGGGTGTGCCTGACACGGGGAGTGCGCTTATCTTGAGGGCGAAAGAGGGTCACAGATGGTTGTAGGCGCGGAAACTCTCTCTCCTCCTCGTCGGATTTTCAGCGAAATTACGGAAGAATGCTTCGCGATTATTAAACGTTTATAACGTAGAAGAAAATAGTCAGATATTGCGATTATCTTTTGATTTATCGTTCGATATTCTTCGCGGAGAGAAATGACGAGGTTGCGAAGAAACTTTTTTATGAAACACTACTCTTTCGGCGGTAGGAATTAGCGACAAACGAAATAGACAAAATTAGACACCCTGTGTATTATTAAAAAGTTACAAGAAAAGCATGCATTTGCAATGAAATTTTGAAATAATAAAATTCTTCAAAATTCACTGCCTGTATTTTATTCAAAAACAGCTGCTGTAATAATAAGAATTTATGAGTGAAAGTATATATCCGCGTGATTAATAAAGTTACCGGAAGTGATATTTGGAGTTGAGATATTAAATAGAAAGGATGAGGAGATTTCTGATTTTCCTCGTGAAATCACACTAATCGGAAACGTTAGGTTACCCAGAACCTCTACTCACCGATAAAGGAGACCCAGTGTGGTGTTAGGTATCTAAGGACGATCGGTAGAGCCGCGTTTCCATCGTGTGCTATGATGCTCTTGTTAAATCCCTCGACTAAGGACCAGTCCGTGGCACGAGCTACCACACCGATCAGTGCAGATGGAAATGCAAGGATCATGCAACCGAACATCGACGCTATCGATAACGCAGTCGCCACTGATGTGCTTCTCATACTTAGGATCCTTTGGAAATAGCCCTAAACGATCACGAATATTTATCAAACCTCCATCAAAAGTTTTCAC